AATGGCACCGTAGCCACGCCCTACGGCAGCACGGGAACGCAAGGCACATCAATGCCTGCGGTCTGGTACGAACAAAATGCTGCAAGCCCTATTTTGTTCTGACCGGACTGGACTGCAGTCATTGATGTGCCTTGCGTTCCTATGCTGCCGGAGGGCGTGGCTACGGTGCCATTCACTTCAATGGACCACACTTCCCCTCCTGGTCCACAACATAGTGAGCCAGTCGCAATGCGATGCAGTGCCAGAGTCGGGCCGGAACTCACTGTCTCTGGCCTGAGGATGGGGGGTGGGGGGGGGTTTGGAGGATATGACCATGTTTCATGTTGCACCCTAAATGTTGGTGTAACATCGCACACAGTCAGAAAGGTGGACTATGCCTTTAAAGAAAAGAACAAATGGTTTCCTATGAGTGATATTATAATACAAAGTAACAATCCATCGTACAGGAAACTCACAATGGAAACTTATTGGACAGAGAAAGGAGGATGGAAGTTTTTTTTAATGTTTCCCCGAATTATAAACATGTCAACAAACACTGCGTGGAAGGGTGCAGTGATCTGCATTTTTCAGGACACGATATAGACTTCCACTATTTATAAACATTCCCCCTCCTACCAGTGGGGTCACAAGGGTGGTGTGGCCTGCACCCGGGTGACACCATTGGAGGGGAGTCATTTTGGTGTCACCCTCCTCTAAAAAGTCAGTCACCCGGTAACCGCTCCGGGTTTTTTTTTTAACACCCTTGGGGGGGGGGGGGGGAGCTGTTTTCCATGACAACCAATCAGCATCTCTCTTTCATTTTCAAAACCTAACTGAACAAACTGAAGAGAAAAGCTGATTGGTTGTCATGGACAACTGCTCCAGATTCTTTGATAAATTCCTCCCGTTCCAGTCTATATACCCTCTGCGTCCCTCTCCTTGGTGGATGGTGGCTGACATCTAAAATCAGACTCATCTCCCCCGGAAGATCTTCTCCATACATGGGGACACAGCTCCCCCCATTTCTATAGCCCCTTATGGTTTTGTCAGTATTTATTACTTAAGGGAGAACTATGGGGTCAGGGCTTTTCCCCATAGTTCTCCTTAGGGTAACGGGAGGACACAAACTAGCGTCCTCCCGTCACCCTAAGCTCAGTATATAGGGAGCTACAGCTCGCGGTATACTGAGACGCCGCAGCCGGAGCGGATCCCGACATCGACGTTGATCTGTGACAGTCTCATTGTTACAGGTCGGCTAGAACTATGAGGTGAGTGGAAATCACTCCCCTCATAGTTCTCCTTTAATGACCCATCACATGAGAATGTTTCTACTTTCTGTACTGCATGCGCAGCCGCAAAAAAGTGGACTTTGTTCCAAGAAACGCGTTGGCTGAGAATCAGCGTATGCAGAGAAAGTGTAATGGACGCCATGTAATCTCCAGATTGTGATGGATCCTCCATGTCAGAGTTTATTTAGGATAATTTATGTATGTCCCTTTAAAATCTCTTTTATTCCAAAAAATAAGATACTTTTAGTTCATGTGTTGGTGATAATTATATATATACTATCAATATCCCCGTTCGCCGAGTGTTCACACTTCAAGGATTATTCCACTTTGTCATACAAAATGGCTGAACACAGCAAATGAATGTCTGTGAAGGTTCTCATTCATCCAGGTCACATGGTATATCTGTAAGAAATAAGTCAAGGCAACCGGACTTGCTGTACTTTTCTTGAAGACGTTTCACTGGACATCTGACCAGCTTTCCTGAGAAAGCTGGTCGGATGTCCAGCGAAACGTCTTCAAGAAAAATACAGCAAGTCCGGTTGCCTTGACTTATTTCTTACAGATACAGCAAATGAATGAACACAGAAGGGGCAGAGATCACCCAAACCAGACACCCCAATGAACTGAGAAACGTTTTTAGTTACAGTTGCGGTAAGTAACTGCAGATACAGCGGGAAAGGTTAGAACCTCAATCAGCTTTTACCTTGTGTCCCCTTCATGGGGATTTCCCTGCACTTCCTGTCCCCAAGGACCAGGACAGCCATCAGAAATTTTGGGGCCCCTTACATGGCTTTAGGCCGGGCCCCTCCCCCCCGCCCTGCTGGACGCAGGGCTTAGTGACGTGCTGGACGCAGGGCTTAGTGACGTGCTGGACGCAGGGCTTAGTGACGTGCTGGACGCAGGGCTCAGTGACGTGCTGGACGCAGGACCCACCTGAGAGTGACACTGCAGAGCTCTGAAGGGGTCTCAGGTGGGCTGGTCAAGGCTACATCCCTCCCCTCCCTCCTTTCCTTCCTAGCTCCTCTTACCTGCACACATGGCCTTGTCTGCCGCCGGACCGGCCAGAAGTGACGTCACTTCCGGCCAGTCCTACATCAGACGAGCAGCGTCGCTGATAGGGCCCTAGCTTGTCTCAAAGCCGCTGGAGCGGCAATGCTGGGGCCCTGCGCTGCTAGGGCCAAGCCTCCTCGCCCTTCACTGTCAGCCCCCCAGGCTGCCCGGGCCCCTTACATGAGTATCGGCCGTACCCCCCTGATGGCTGCCCTGCCAGGGACACAACAGGAAGAGAACATTTCTTAAAACAGGTGTCCCCATTGGAAGACTTCCCCTCTATTCCTGTTCTGGTGACAACCATAAACATGTAGAACTTCTCTATCACTTTCTTAATGGGGGACCATATGACACGGGGCTCAAACCCTTTCTGAATACATCCAAAACTATAAACACAGTTACACCTTGAGACGGTTTGAACTTTACGTCACGTGACCCTATATTTTTTACATTCATATTTGGAAGTACATTTTATGGTTCAGTAGTTGAGCTGAAATGCATTTAAACTGCCTGACAGATACATTTATCATCTCATTTCAATGGGCAATTCGCCTGTCAGCGCACATGTGTGAGCAGGGCCCGGGGGTCAGCCATGCGTTAAAGCGTTTATACGCAAGTGTGAACCAGGCGGCGGTCCCTAAAGCAGGCTTGGCCAAACTGCGCCTCCACAGCTGCCAGGAAACGTATGCTCCGCTGGCACGCTGGGACTTGTGGTGCCACAACAGCTGCAGGGTCACTGGCTGCGGCCTCCATATCCAACATGTCAGAGGAAACCCTTCCAGATGGAAGGGCCGCTGATGTTCTACATTCCGAGCCGTACACAAAAGTTATCATTAGCCAATCAGAAGGAGATTAAAGTGCACAAAGAGCTACATTCTCAATAGCCGATTGTGTAATGTTCTCCTTAGAGAAAAAGCAATAGGTTCCAAAATGGCTGAACTGCCAAATGTTTGAGATTTCCCGTCATGCAATTTAAATTCTTGAGATGACTGAGGGCCACAAGTATTGCGTTTGAGGGCCCCCATGTAGGCCACAGACAGCAGGCTGACATGCCCAGTCTAGAGAGAGAAGTTGGAGTATTTGTTTCATGACACTAAACAAATTGTTATCTATGCACAGATCCCAGGGTGGGTGTTGGTCAGATGTTGTGGGACTACAACCCCTATTGTATCCCACTTTGCTGGAACTGGTAGTCATCCCAAAGTTTGAGGCGTACCGGAGTCAGCGCTAAAATGCTGGATTGGGATGCAGCAAGAACTCACAAGTTGTAACATTTCTATAACTTCCCCCAGACAAGAGACAATGATTACCAATTCCTGCAATATAATGGAACAATAAACTGATACAATGTAACGTGTCAGGAGAGTCAGAATGAAATGCAATAAAGACTCAAAACAATAAACATTATTATTATGATTTCCTTAGGAAGTCAGATGGAAGAATTGTGATCCTCGCAGTCCTGGAACATCACACAGGATACACAGAACAACTCAATAACTTCCTGAAGAAGACAAGTCAGATAATGGACAAAAATGTAACATTTCTAGGACTTCCTCAGACATCTGAAATCAAGACAACTACAACTGCCAGGAGATCATGGACTGGATACAATGTAACATGCAAGTCTCACTTCCTAGAAACCAAATAGAGGGACATAAGGGGCAAAATGTATCAAGAATTAGATACAATGGAGGAAATTGGGTTTACTTCCTATAATCCGGGAGAAAAGTAACTTCCAAAAACACAGAGTAACAAGAACTGGATACAATGTAACACATTACTATAATCCAGGAGGATTCAGGACCAACAGGGACACGAAGTATCAAGGACTGGATTCAATATAACAAATGAATCACATTTTGTATAATCCTGGAGATTTAGGGACATCAGAGAGACCAAATATCAACCACTGGATACAATATAAGGAGTTAGTCTCATAATCCAGATTTAGTGACATCCGACTGGATACAATGTAACAAGTTAGTCTCATTTCATATAATCCAGGGGATTTAGGACCAGCAAGGACACAAACTAACAAGGACTGGATACAATATAACAAGATAGTCTGACTTCTCACAATCCAGAAGTGACCTCAGAAACAGACTGGATACAATGTAACCAGGTAATCTCACTTTATATAATCCAGGAGATATAGTGACATCAGAGACACCAAGGATCAAGGACTGGATACAATATAACAAGATAGTCCCAGTCTCCCAATCCAGAAGTGACCTCAGAGACAGACTAGATACAATGTAACCAGGTAATCTCACTTTATATAATCCAGGAGATATAGTGACATCAGAGACACAAAGTAACAAGGACTGCATACAATATAACAAGTTAGTCCCTTTATATAATTCAGGAAATCTAGGCGCAGCAGGGATCAGAGACAGACGGTATACAATGTAACAAGTAAGTCTCATTTCATATAATCCAGGAGATTTAGAACCAGCAAGGATACAAAGTAACAAGGACTGGATACAATATAACAAGATAGTCTCACTTCTCCTAATCCAGGAGATTTAGTGACATCAGGGACACCAAGTCAGAGACACAAGGACTGGAGACAGTTCTAGAAGAACGATAACAGTTCTCAGACACAAAGAAACATTCATGGTATACATTGTAACATGTTTGTCTGCAACTTCCTACAGACAAAGTCAGGGACAATAAACCCACCTCAGAGAACAGCAGCATGAGAAGGGTTACTAAGTTCCTAGTGACATCCATGGTGGCTGTAGGGATCCCTCCCGAGTCAGGACAGCTGGGGGCCAAATCCAGGGGCCACAACTATTTCTGCTCTAGATCTGAGACTCCTGCAGGATGGGCTCAGTCCCTCCACATAATGCCAAGAAGAAGAAGAAAAAAAAGAGCCTTGCTGGCAATCCAGAGGTTAACGCGGCTCAGATCCAGTGATGGAGGGGTCTCTATCCGGAATAAGGGATGGGGGGTGGGGAGGCCTTCGCAGGGACCCCAGACCAGACCTCGGCTCCGCTCTCTCTTGGAAATGAGGGAGATGCTGGACGCAGGGCTTAGTGACGTGCTGGACGCAGGGCTTAGTGACGTGCTGGACGCAGGGCTTAGTGACGTGCTGGACGCAGGGCTCAGTGACGTGCTGGACGCAGGACCCACCTGAGAGTGACACTGCAGAGCTCTGAAGGGGTCTCAGGTGGGCTGGTCAAGGCTACATCCCTCCCCTCCCTCCTTTCCTTCCTAGCTCCTCTTACCTGCACACATGGCCTTGTCTGCCGCCGGACCGGCCAGAAGTGACGTCACTTCCGGCCAGTCCTACATCAGACGAGCAGCGTCGCTGATAGGGCCCTAGCTTGTCTCAAAGCCGCTGGAGCGGCAATGCTGGGGCCCTGCGCTGCTAGGGCCAAGCCTCCTCGCCCTTCACTGTCAGCCCCCCAGGCTGCCCGGGCCCCTTACATGAGTATCGGCCGTACCCCCCTGATGGCTGCCCTGCCAGGGACACAACAGGAAGAGAACATTTCTTAAAACAGGTGTCCCCATTGGAAGACTTCCCCTCTATTCCTGTTCTGGTGACAACCATAAACATGTAGAACTTCTCTATCACTTTCTTAATGGGGGACCATATGACACGGGGCTCAAACCCTTTCTGAATACATCCAAAACTATAAACACAGTTACACCTTGAGACGGTTTGAACTTTACGTCACGTGACCCTATATTTTTTACATTCATATTTGGAAGTACATTTTATGGTTCAGTAGTTGAGCTGAAATGCATTTAAACTGCCTGACAGATACATTTATCATCTCATTTCAATGGGCAATTCGCCTGTCAGCGCACATGTGTGAGCAGGGCCCGGGGGTCAGCCATGCGTTAAAGCGTTTATACGCAAGTGTGAACCAGGCGGCGGTCCCTAAAGCAGGCTTGGCCAAACTGCGCCTCCACAGCTGCCAGGAAACGTATGCTCCGCTGGCACGCTGGGACTTGTGGTGCCACAACAGCTGCAGGGTCACTGGCTGCGGCCTCCATATCCAACATGTCAGAGGAAACCCTTCCAGATGGAAGGGCCGCTGATGTTCTACATTCCGAGCCGTACACAAAAGTTATCATTAGCCAATCAGAAGGAGATTAAAGTGCACAAAGAGCTACATTCTCAATAGCCGATTGTGTAATGTTCTCCTTAGAGAAAAAGCAATAGGTTCCAAAATGGCTGAACTGCCAAATGTTTGAGATTTCCCGTCATGCAATTTAAATTCTTGAGATGACTGAGGGCCACAAGTATTGCGTTTGAGGGCCCCCATGTAGGCCACAGACAGCAGGCTGACATGCCCAGTCTAGAGAGAGAAGTTGGAGTATTTGTTTCATGACACTAAACAAATTGTTATCTATGCACAGATCCCAGGGTGGGTGTTGGTCAGATGTTGTGGGACTACAACCCCTATTGTATCCCACTTTGCTGGAACTGGTAGTCATCCCAAAGTTTGAGGCGTACCGGAGTCAGCGCTAAAATGCTGGATTGGGATGCAGCAAGAACTCACAAGTTGTAACATTTCTATAACTTCCCCCAGACAAGAGACAATGATTACCAATTCCTGCAATATAATGGAACAATAAACTGATACAATGTAACGTGTCAGGAGAGTCAGAATGAAATGCAATAAAGACTCAAAACAATAAACATTATTATTATGATTTCCTTAGGAAGTCAGATGGAAGAATTGTGATCCTCGCAGTCCTGGAACATCACACAGGATACACAGAACAACTCAATAACTTCCTGAAGAAGACAAGTCAGATAATGGACAAAAATGTAACATTTCTAGGACTTCCTCAGACATCTGAAATCAAGACAACTACAACTGCCAGGAGATCATGGACTGGATACAATGTAACATGCAAGTCTCACTTCCTAGAAACCAAATAGAGGGACATAAGGGGCAAAATGTATCAAGAATTAGATACAATGGAGGAAATTGGGTTTACTTCCTATAATCCGGGAGAAAAGTAACTTCCAAAAACACAGAGTAACAAGAACTGGATACAATGTAACACATTACTATAATCCAGGAGGATTCAGGACCAACAGGGACACGAAGTATCAAGGACTGGATTCAATATAACAAATGAATCACATTTTGTATAATCCTGGAGATTTAGGGACATCAGAGAGACCAAATATCAACCACTGGATACAATATAAGGAGTTAGTCTCATAATCCAGATTTAGTGACATCCGACTGGATACAATGTAACAAGTTAGTCTCATTTCATATAATCCAGGGGATTTAGGACCAGCAAGGACACAAACTAACAAGGACTGGATACAATATAACAAGATAGTCTGACTTCTCACAATCCAGAAGTGACCTCAGAAACAGACTGGATACAATGTAACCAGGTAATCTCACTTTATATAATCCAGGAGATATAGTGACATCAGAGACACCAAGGATCAAGGACTGGATACAATATAACAAGATAGTCCCAGTCTCCCAATCCAGAAGTGACCTCAGAGACAGACTAGATACAATGTAACCAGGTAATCTCACTTTATATAATCCAGGAGATATAGTGACATCAGAGACACAAAGTAACAAGGACTGCATACAATATAACAAGTTAGTCCCTTTATATAATTCAGGAAATCTAGGCGCAGCAGGGATCAGAGACAGACGGTATACAATGTAACAAGTAAGTCTCATTTCATATAATCCAGGAGATTTAGAACCAGCAAGGATACAAAGTAACAAGGACTGGATACAATATAACAAGATAGTCTCACTTCTCCTAATCCAGGAGATTTAGTGACATCAGGGACACCAAGTCAGAGACACAAGGACTGGAGACAGTTCTAGAAGAACGATAACAGTTCTCAGACACAAAGAAACATTCATGGTATACATTGTAACATGTTTGTCTGCAACTTCCTACAGACAAAGTCAGGGACAATAAACCCACCTCAGAGAACAGCAGCATGAGAAGGGTTACTAAGTTCCTAGTGACATCCATGGTGGCTGTAGGGATCCCTCCCGAGTCAGGACAGCTGGGGGCCAAATCCAGGGGCCACAACTATTTCTGCTCTAGATCTGAGACTCCTGCAGGATGGGCTCAGTCCCTCCACATAATGCCAAGAAGAAGAAGAAAAAAAAGAGCCTTGCTGGCAATCCAGAGGTTAACGCGGCTCAGATCCAGTGATGGAGGGGTCTCTATCCGGAATAAGGGATGGGGGGTGGGGAGGCCTTCGCAGGGACCCCAGACCAGACCTCGGCTCCGCTCTCTCTTGGAAATGAGGGAGACCCCCTTATTGCTGAGCCTTTAACATATAGTCATGAAATAGAGGAGTGAGACAGGGAAGGAGGAGGAAGTTTGTAGGATGGTGATTGGAGGGGGGCAGGTTTCACCAGGCTGGGTGGAGAGAGCAGGAGAGGAGACAATGGGGACTTAACCCTTTCCCGACAAGCACATTAACCCCTCTGCTGCTGCTACATGCCTCCAGCCATTCTCAGCCTATTGTCTGTGCAGCGATTGTGTCAACAGAAAGCAGATCAGACAAAGATTTGGTGACTTTCTGCTGTCTGGGAAGAAGGTCATCTGTCCATCTGTCTGGGAGACCCTGAAACTGGCTGTGGATTGCCAGCTCCTGCGCACACAGGGAACAGCTATACTGAGCTTTCCCGACCAGACAGCCAGGAATGATTGTCCCATTCAATCTGCAGATGTTGGGGTGTCTGTAGGCCTCCCCCAACCATCGCAGACATCCCCGCCCCCAACATTCTACTCCATTAAATGTGATTGTCTGTGCTGCAATCTTTCATGAGATCATTTCAACACAGAAGATATTTATTGCTGATACTGAAAATCGCCATTTGGAAACAAATGGCTCCCTATAGATCCCTATTGTGAGCACATATTGCTCCAAATTTGTGTACCTGTGTATTTGACTCCATAGGAAGCCATTAGTATACCAATGGATACTCCCAGGACCGCGCCAAATGGGCGATTTATTACCAGCGATCGGTTTTTTAAAATGATAGTTATTTCTATGAAATTGCCAATGTGTTCATTTTACAGCACTGTGTAGTTGTAGACCTTTCAACGCACCACAGCGCACAGAGGGTTCACATTTACGTAGAGGGATGTGCTAAAGCGCAGGTTCAGTGTTGGTGCATTGGGGAGGTGTGTTATCGGAAGCCCGCCCCTCAGGGGGGCGGGCTTGCGATGATCGAGAGTACAATCTGCCTGTCCAAGATGGGCAGATCGTACGTTTTTTTAATCCCTTTACAACCATCGCAAGACTAAAGTCTTGCGGTGGTTGTAGAGTGTATGGCCACCGTGGCCATACACTCTACAACCATCGCAAGACTTTAGTCTTGCGATGGTTGTAAATCCCTTTACAACCATCGCAAGACTAAAGTCTTGCGGTGGTTGTAGAGTGTATGGCCACCGTGGCCATACACTCTACAACCATCGCAAGACTTTAGTCTTGCGATGGTTGTAAATCCCTTTACAACCATCGCAAGACTAAAGTCTTGCGGTGGTTGTAGAGTGTATGGCCACCGTGGCCATACACTCTACAACCATCGCAAGACTTTAGTCTTGCGATGGTTGTAAATCCCTTTACAACCATCGCATTCGCGGGATTTCCCGCGATTCTCGTACGAGAATCGAGCAGTGTATGGGCACCTTTAGGGTCCCATTCAAAATGCATTCAAAGCCAATGGCATCGCAACGCACCACACCGCACACTTCGGTAATGTGTGTTCTAAAAGGCGCAGTTTACCGCCAAGGCAAAGGTGTGAGTCCGGCCTAAAAGCCAAAACGCACTTTACTGCCGTGATAACACATGCAATACCTCAATGCATGATAAGGCACCTTATGTGTGTTAGTCCATTGTAGTGTCGTTCATTTTGAATGGCAACCAGGGCCGGATTTCCCGCCAGGCCAAACGAGGCCCGGCCTTGGGGCAGCAGGGAGTAGAGGGGCAGCAGGGAGTAGAGGGGCAGCAGGGGTGTGGAATTCCTATCTCCCGA